ACACTTAGTGATATATGCATTCAGTTTTTTTTCTATGCATATATATGATGGGTATATTTAAAATAAATAAAAAAGGCTTACAGAGAATAGGCTGTTTTGTATCATCTTTTTCACTCAATACTGTATGTAACATCTTTCTATGTTGTTATAAATATGAACATAATATACATCTCATTATTTCCTTAGAATAATTTCTTAGTAGATTTATTAGGTCTGATGACAATAGAATTTTAAGACAGTTGATACATATGGTTGAATTCCAGGATTTACTTTATTTATTTCCTGCTTCATTTTAGAAGGATTTTATGTTACTGGATTTGACATGTAATATTGTAGTTATGTATATAATTTCTAAGCTCACAAAAGTGGTTTTGTCAATGAGTCAGAATGAAGCAGCCTTTTACAGTAATCTTAAGTCACATCCCTTTAGAGTTCTTAAACTTCATATTTATTCAGTCATTGGCATTTTAGAGGAGCTGCAATCAGCATCATCCCCAGTTATTCTCTAGTGATTGTTTATCCTCAGGAGAAATTGGGTGGCAGTGTTCCTGTACCATTGCACTGTGCCTGTCTTTCTGGGCTAGGCAGTAGTGTTGGTAAGCTGCCAGATGAGGCAAATGTTTATGGAGGCATCCCCAGATGCGCTTAACTCCAGTTATTCTGGATGAAATATCATTTCTGGGGTAGCACACTGTCGATTGGATTTTTCAGAGCCTGATTTCACTAAATCATTTTTGCAAGAAGATTTTTTTTTTATTCTTGCTCATGAAATGCCTTCTCTCCAAACCCAAAGTCCTTGTTAATTTGTTTCTCTGCACACTACCTCCCAGCTCACAATTCTGCCTGCCTCTGATTTGCTCACCTTCCCCAAAGTTGTACCTTGAGTACCTGTCCTGAAAATGAATGCTCTCTTTTCAGGTTCATTAGAGATACCTAATAAAGAACACGGGGTTTTTTTTGTGGGTTTTTTAAAAATATATTTTATTGATTTTTTACAGAGAGGAAGGGAGAGGGATAGAGAGCCAGAAACATCGATCAGCTGCCTCCTGCACGCCCCCCAACGGGGATGTGCCCGCAACCAAGGTACATGCCCCTGACCGGAATCGAACCCGGGACCCTTGAGTCCGCAGGCTAATGCTCTATCCACTGAGCCAAACCGGTTCTGGCAAGAACAGTTTTAAATACCTGCTTGTTTGTTTGTTTTCATCACTACCTAAAATTGAGAGCTCTACTTAGTTTAAACATGCTGTTCTAGCAGGCCCTACCTTTCTCATAATCCAGTTATTAACCAGCCTTCCCCATAGTTTCCGAGTTCAGCTCCTTCCTTTTCCTGAGTAATCCATATGAGAAAATTTCTTTAATTTTGAACTACTCCTAAAGAATGCAGTCTTCCAGATTTTAGCTTTTGTCTTTTTAAATGTAGCATTTTTTCTGTTCTGTTGAGTTGTCAGATTCAGCTTCAGAGGGTTTTAGTTAGTTAAAAGTAATGTCCTGTTAAATGTTACTATCCTGAGGACTCCTCAGGGGGGTGGCCTGTGTTATCAGAGCTACTGTCATACCAAGTTCTCCTCAGTGGTTGTGTGTGTGTACTCATGATAGGAAGCACATATGTTAGCCATGACATTAATAACACTGACTCCACAACCTGAATGAAGTAAGCATGTATAAATACATTTCTTCGTTCCCTACCGTAGCAAACTGTTTTCAGTATTATCAGTGTCACATCTGGCAGAGTACCTCAGAATTAGCAAATAACATAGCTGTCCAATGTAACTTTGTCAGAATTATGATCTCAAAGCTTAAAAAAACTTGTTTTTACCTTTCTTTGTTGCAGGGTTTTAACATCAAAAGTGTACAATCACAAGGTTTTAAACTGAATGTATGGGACATTGGTGGACAAAGGAAAATCAGACCATACTGGAGGAATTATTTTGAAAACACTGATATTCTTGTGAGTACTCTTTCTGATGTGTTAATTCATAGTCTTTTCTGCTGGGTTAGGAACATTAACTCTATAAGGTTCTGTCTTGCCAATAATTCCATTGCCATAACATTAATCACTAAATTTAGGGCTAGCAGAAGGCTCCAAACTGTAAGAGCGAAACATCTTTGTATAACTTGTATAAGATGTTTTGCTGTCGCTCAGTAACAATGGTATACCCAGACCCACCTTGGCAAATAAAGTGTTTATTTATTACCATAGTGATTCGAACAGCAGTAGGGAAGTCAGAAGATTGTGCCGCTAACTCTATCATCCAAGGATACCAACAAATCAAGTGTGTCCCAAACTGAGCAATCAAGATAGTGAGAGCCCTGGAAACAGTGATGTGTCAGGAATGGTTGAAAGGCCTGACAATGTCCTTCCTGGAAAAGAAAACACTTGGCACTGTCTTCAGTTACTTTAAAAACTACCTTAAATCAAACATTAGCCTCATTGTGAATATTTCTAAAGGACCGGACAAGGAGCAGTTTGGCGAGTATTCGATGGTAGAGTTTAACTCAGAATAAGGAAGACGTTTCCTATAGTTGTAACTGCCCAGAATTAAAGAAGCTGCCTCAGGCATTGGGAATTCCCTGGCTCAGGTGCCTTTGTTCAGGCAGAGGCTGGGATGTTAGTTCCCAGCTCTCGGTCACATTCTCTAGGACTACTGTGTGTCTCCTGGATTAAGGTACTTGGAGAGAAATACTCAAGTTAGAGCAGTTCATAAGGTCATGAATGGCTCTAAGGTTCCGTACGGAGGTCTCAGAAACTTTCCGGCCCTGCCCTAACTGGTTTGGCTCACTGGATAGAGCGTTGGCCTGGGGACTGAAGGGTCCCGGGTTCGATTCCAGTCAAGGACATGTACCCTGGTTGTTGGCACATCCCCAGTGGGGGGTGTGCAGGAGGCAGCTGATCGATGTATCTCTCTCATCGATATTTCTAACTCTCTATCCTTGTCCTTTCCTCTCTGTAAAAAAATCAATAAAATATATTAAAAAAAAAAAAAGAAAGAAAGAAACTTTCCGGCCCTCAGGTCAGGGAATTTTAAATCATAAGCTCTAACACTTTGAGGGTCGACTGCAAGGTAGTGATAATCTGACTCTGGATCCCACACTTCCCATTTGCTTAGAGTGCCTGGGAAGTATAGAACTAGCCAGCAAAATCAGCTTGCAGCAACCCTGCAGTTGCTTTCACCAGCTACATTACATTGCCAGCACCAGACACTATTTTGGATTCAGTGTCAACATTCCATTATTTCCCAGTGCCATTTGGGATTAAACAACTTTTGGGGAGCAGGTGGGTCCCCAGGGTTAAATTCTAAGGCCTGGTGACTCTTAGTTCTGTCTGATAGTTTTGTAGCAGCTTGCTGTGGCAGTGGTTGATGGATTATATTTGTATTTAATAGTTTCCCATTGTTGGTTAAAAAGACCTATTACACTAGACTCCACAACAGTATTGAGGCTTGACACATTTAGTTGCCTGGTTAACACTTTTCAATTATCTCTAGAGTGCCATAATAAATTTTTGCTTTAGAGTGGGTGTCGACAAACTGATCCAGTCTGCCTCCTGCTCTACTATAGCCTATGAGCTAAGAATAGTTTTTATACAGTATTTTTAAATCTTTGAAAATTTTTCAAAAGAAGAATAAGATTTCCTCACATGAAAACGAAGTGAAATTCCATTTTCCGTGTCCAGAAAGTTCTGTTGTGACGCAGCCACGTCCACTTGTTTGCATACAGGGTGGGCAAAAGTAGGTTTATAATTGTGAATATGTGAAACACAGTTTATTCCTTTATTATTATTTACAAATTATTGTATTTGATTACAACTGTAAACCTACTTTTGCACACCCTGTATTTTCTATGATAGCTTTCACACTATAACAGCAAAATCCAATAGTTGTGAAAAAGATTGTGTGGGCCACAAAACCAAAATTATTTACTACCTGACCCCTTACAGAAAAAGATTTCTTTAGATCATTAAGTGGTTCTCTAGGGGTTTGAAAGGGTCAGGGCAACTCCTAAAAGTGCCAAAGATATTCTCAGGGAAGATGACACTGAGAGCATTTTACTTCAGCTTTATTAATTGTGGGGAGGTGACTAGTCAATAAAACCTAAAGTATGATAGAAAGGAGGGGAGAGGCTGTCTTCCATTTCTTTTAGGCCAGGAAATAGCAGCCTTTTGATAGATAAAAATGCATCTTTTTTTTTCAAGGTGTGTTCATATTATTACTAAACTCTATTTACTTATTGTTAACAGTTTTGTGTTTAAATGCAACATAATTTAAATAAAGCAACTGTGTCATCATTTCCATAACCAATGTGTAGGACTTAAGTGAGATCTCAAACAACTGTCTCATGTATTATTTCCGTGATGCCACTCACACCCGAGTCACCTGGGTATCGATACTGCTGCAGCACACATAATTGAAAACCACAAGTTACCCAGAAACCTTATTTGTTGTTTTCAACCTCCTTTTAGACTTTTGCTCAAGCCGTCAATAAAAAGCCACACATTTTAGTATCATCTCTTCTTGGCTCCCTACCCCTCTAGTGGAGAAATACTTAGGAGCAATAAAATGACCAAAAGGTGGCAGCAGGACCAGAAGCAAAAGGAGAAACAAAGAACCCTCCGTTCACATGCTGGATAGTCAGTCTGGATAGTCCAGAGTAGGCTGTACTTCCATCAGAAAAACAAACAAAAACCTCTTTAGTCTTCCTTCCACAACCAGTCATTTCAAAGCAGTTGCCAAGGAAGATGTGAATTGGCTTTGCTTAAAGCATCATTCTGAGTGCCGTGCATAACTATATTTTAGAATAGATTTATGAAACTTGATTTTTGAGGTTCCATAATGTTTTAAGGTCAGAAGCATTATAAATGTTGTAACTTTATCCAATACTTTCTGAGTATTTTTATTGATTATTAATTAATTTTTGGATTAAAAATTTTTACAACTAGATTAACAGATAGATAGATATATATTTTATTTTTATTTTTTAAGGCAAGAGGCTCTCCTTACCTTTATCTCTATTGACCAGAAGAAAATAGATACTGGGCAGCACTGGGGTGACAAGCAACCACGAGAAGCATATACCACTGCAGAAAAACAAATTGGTGTATTACTAAATTAGTTGTTTTATAGACTTCTTCCTGGAATTATTGTGCAGTAGTTGTCAAATTTTATAAAAATTATGCTACATGATAAGGAGAATTAGGCTAAATGTATAGTTTAGGAAAACTCTCCTTTAATTATACTGAATCTTTTAATGGAGGCAATAAATAGCAAGTAATTTGGCAAGTAATTATAAGTAAAAGTTAAAACTTTCTTCTCATTGATCTTCAGCCTCTGGATTCTCTGGTATCATCTCTCTTGTCATTAAAATTCTTCCCATTCCTTATCCTCTCCCGACTATTTTTCGTAATATCAAACATCAATTTCCTAACTTTACATTTGTGTTTTCAGCTTTGTCTCAGCCTCCTCTTTTCTTCCCTTGTTACTCACGCCTTTGCTCCCAGGCCCATTTTTTCTTACTTTGAAATTCCTTTCTTGCCCAGTGGCCTGCACACAGCCTTCAGAAAGCCCTCTAAGTCCAAAACACCCTCCCCGTGATCACTTGACCCTCTCCCCTCCCTCACATCTTGAACTGTTGCCTGAGTGAAGATAATCCTAATCCACTGTTGACTCCCAAATAATTCTAATTAGGTCTTTTATATTGAGGTTCACCCTCCCATTACAATCCTTCGTTCTGTATCTACATTTACATTACATCTGCTACCTTAAAAATGAGAGCCTTACTGGTGGAAAACAGTATGGAACTTTGGGTATTTGTGGTGTGCAGAGCCCATTAATGCATGTATTCACACTGAGTCAAGAGTAATATTAGCCGAAACCGGTTTGGCTCAGTGGATAGAGCGTCGGCCTGCGGACTGAAGGGTCCCAGGTTCGATTCCGGTCAAGGGCATGTACCTGGATTGCGGGCACATCCCCAGTGGGAGATGTGCAGGAGGCAGCTGATTGATGTTTCTCTTTCATCGATGTTTCTGACTCTCTATCTCTCTCCCTTCCTCTCAATAAAATATATTTAAAAAAAAAAAAAGAGTAATATTAACTACAACCACAATAATAAGGCTGAAAAGAAAATACTGAGACAACATCCTTCCTCCTTTTATGATTCCCCTGAAAGAAACACAGGGGGAAACACAGGGTATTCTTCAGAGGAAAGCCCAAACTTTGTTCCTGGTATATTTAGCATTAGTGATTCTAAATGAGAGTGCATTAAACTTATGGAATTTTAATTTTTTTCTTTCAAAAGAGCAAATTTTCAAGTAGCACAAAATTTAACCTACATACAGAAATGCCTACATATATTGTAGTATATTAGTTTATGTAATTTAAGGCATGTAAAGGTGAGAGTTGTTTTGTATTGTTGTTTCTTTTTTTTTTCTTCTTTTTTTTTTAATATATTTTATTGATTTTTTACAGAGAGGAAGGGAGAGAGATAGAGAGTTAGAAACATCGATGAGAGAGAAACATCGATCAGCTGCCTCCTGCACATCCCCCACGGGGGAAGTGCCTGCAACCCAGGTACATGCCCTTGACCGGAATCGAACCTGGGACCTTTCAGTCCGCAGGCCGACGCTCTATCCGCTGAGCCAAACCGGCTTTGGCATATTGTTGTTTCTAAATGAATACAGCAGGCCCTCAAATAAAGTCATTTTGTTCAACATTGTTTCATTATAACATGGATAAGAAGCTGTAGAAACTTAACTCTTGTTTATGTCAATTAGCCTGTGGTAAAGTTCTTTTCGTTATATGTAGTTTTGCTTAAAGTTGCAAAACCTATTGATGACATTGAGGATTTACTGTATGCTCTTTTAAAAGGCTTCTTTCATTGTACCATTAGTTTAATAACAGTTCTAAATTCTTTAAAAGAAGTTAGAAAATCTGATAATTTTTAAGATTAGCAACTGGAAAAACATTTAATATACCATTTAATTGTTTTAAAGGACTATAAAATTATATCTAATTTTATTTTTAAACTTTCATATGAAGAAGAATTAAGAAAACATTCATATGAAATTAAAATAATATATTTGGGTTCTGTAACTACAGGCAGTTTTCTTTTTTGGTCTTCCCTTATTTTCTTTATTGTTATAGGGTGTTATTTATGCAATAAATAAAATTCAGTGATGGGAGAGAAAGCTTGAGGTTTTTAATTTATGGTGAATCTCAAGACTTCTCTTACTCTGGAAAAGGCTATGCCCTTGCTATTTGCTTATCGCCTCCTAGCAGCCTTGGAGGTTATAAGCAAGGTAGGAGTGGGATGGAGATCACCGGCTTTCCTGCTTCAGTACATGAAGTCAGCATATAGTTAACACTGCAAATGATACTCTCAGCGTGATGATGTTCGAGGACTAGGATTTATAGATGTCTCAAAACACCATCCCTCCCAGACAGCGTGAGATGCAGTGTTAGCAGAGTGCTTAACACATTGCGTACCGCATAGAAATCTCTAAGACATACGCCAGGGACCGCACGTTTTTGGGCAAACTGCACGTTATTTAAATCATCAATAATGCACTTTAGGTGTTGTTTTCAGTAATTATAACATTTTTATTTACAAAAACAATTAAACAATTAAAGTTCCTAGTACTTTTTTAACGTATGGTACTGCGTAAAACATTTTCCTCTATGAAGAGGGACCAAACAAAATTTACATAAGTATCTAGATTCGCTCCTTTTTCCATGGGCGTGAAAAACGAGAACACTCGTGAGTGGTCCTTAACAGATGGCGCGCGAAACACGCGAAAACTACTGAGCGGTATGAAATGTGTTAAGGTATGCTTGAGTTTGAATCCCAATTTTGTCAAGTACTTGATGTAACTTGAGCAAGTTACTTAACTTCTTTGGGATTATGTTTATCTATCTAATAAAAGCCTAAGCGACCGTTATGGCGGGACAACCAGAACGACCGGTCAGTATGATGCGCACTGACCACCAGGGGGCAGACGCTCAACGCAGGAGCTTCCCCTGGTGGTCAGTGCGCTCCCACTGGGGGAGCGCAGCTCAGCCAGAAGCTGGGCTCACAGCTGGTGAGCATAGCGGCGTTGGCAGGAGCCTCTCCTGCCTCCGCAGCAGCGCTAAGGAGCAGAGAGCTGAGCAGTAAGGAGCAAGCAGGCAGGTAGTAAGGAGTGAGGCATCCCAGATTATGAGAGGAATGTCCGACTGCCGGCTTAGGCCGAATCCCCAGGATTGGGCCTAAACTGGAAGTTGGACATCCCCCAAGGGGTCCCGGACTGCGAGAGGGCGCAGGCCAGGCTGAGCTCCCCCCCGCCCCAGTGCACGAATTTCGTGCACCAGGCCTCTAGTTTATGTATAAAATGAGAAGTAGTGCAGTCTATCTCATAGAGTTGTAACAAGGATTAACATGGTAAATCTAGCAAGAATGTTTAGTAAATGCACAGTAAATGTAGCTATTTTCATCCTGCATAGCTCTACTGACTTTTTACTTTGGAGCTTTGCTGGAGGTATTTTGGGGGCACCCTCCATTTAATTAATTAATTAGTTAGTTTGCTTGTTTCTTTGTTTTGCATCCATAGATGAGGTAATAGTTGCCAGCTCAATTTCTATATGCTATACTAATGTGAAATTGGCTGACAGGAACACCTGTTCTTTCCATAAAGGTGCCCTGTATTTTACATATCTGCTATTGAGATAACCTCTTCTTTTACTTTACAGATATATGTAATTGACAGTGCAGACAGAAAAAGATTTGAAGAGACGGGCCAGGTAAATAATTCTTCTGTTGATCTATTTCCCAAATAACTGGGTATTCATTAATCTGCCTTGTAAATGTATGACAGTGAGAGAGACTTTTTTTGTTTAACCTTTGCAGTTTAAACAAGACAGTCACCCTGGCAAGCAGGCAAAAATACCAGTTGGCTAAAAAGAAATTAGTTCAGAATCCTTTAAACAATTTTTTTGATTAAAGCCTTTTAGTTTAAATCAAATTGAATAAACAAGTTATAAGAAAATGGAATTTACCAGCATGCCCAAAAGCTCTTCAGGTTTCTTCTCATTCCACATAGAAATGAACCCAGAAGAACAATTCACTATTATGTCTGTGTACATTTTTCAATATCAACTTAATTGATCCAAGGGCAGCTAACAAATTCAAAGGGATGGAAGAAAGGTGTAAGCCAAGATGAAGCTGCTCTTGTTTCCAAGCCAAAAGATAGGTATCTTTGAACCCCAAAATGGCTTCAAATGCAGACTACATGTCAACATGATTACACAGTGCAATTTGTATACACAGTTTTAAACAGAGAAGCGGTGGTCACAGACCATTTTATTGAGTACACTGATAAGAAGCAAGGGGTAGAGTGGACCTCTTTGGAGAAGCGTGATTACATTTTATTGCAGAATCCTTGGCTTGTGTCCTAAACTACCACTGGTGGCCTTCCAAAGGTAGCCGTCCCCATGTTTATGTTCCTTTTTCCTGGAAATTAGTTTGAGAACTCTCCAGACTCTTGGAGATAACCCTTCTATACCTTGATGATTTCTGGATCATCACTTCACGTGAGCTTGAAAGTGAAGGGTGTCATATAACGATAACACCTCTTGAACCCTCCAGTTCTCTTTGGCAGCACAAGTGTCTTACATAGGGTTAAAATGTGGATTTAATGGGAGAGGTGGGTCCTCATATTTAGGTACGTACACACCCTCTACTATACTTATTGCAGACAGAATCAACATAACAGGGAAGACCCCAACTGATGGCCTAAAAATCAGAGACCTTGCCAGATGGACTAATACAGTTATTTTAGGATATGGGTTTGATGAAGTGTAATGCATGGACATGTTTTGGAGGTAAAGATTGATGAAACAGAATTATAGTCTTTAATTTGCAATTGTCATTTTCAATTTATCCAATATAATAAAAGGCTAATATGCAAATTGTCCCCTCAAGAGTTCATCCGCTCACTATGACGTGCACTGACCACCAGGGGGCAGCGTGGAGTTAAGGAAGGCCCTGGCCGGCAGCCAGAAGGCCTCGATTGGCCCTAATCACCGGCCTGGCCTAGGGACCCTACCC